ACACAATAATACCAACCATAAAACTGTTTGGTTTGGTTTGGTTTCTTAAATGTGTATGCCCTTTCGGACTTCCCTCTCTTCTCACCCACCCCCACTCCCCACCCCCCCCAGAGTGTTAGAGATTGAAAGCTACTGTAGAGGGAGAAATTGAGAATCCACAACAGTAAACACCATGGAGTTGCTTTCTGTACTGGGATGATAGGATATGTTAATTTTATTTTTTTTCTAAATAGAGAGCTAGAACACTTGCACTAAAAGTACTAAAGAGATGTTAGTGTGTTGTGTTAGATATTAGTTGTGTTCTGCAGCAGAATAGTGTACATGAGAATTTTATACTACAGGCATGTTCAGTTCTCCTACCTAGTGTGGGTATATGTCTGTTGTAGGTTGGTTGAAGGTAGTTTGTTCAAGAAGGAACAAGGAAGGAAGGAACCTCAGGAGATCTCTAGTCCAACTTCAGTTCACAGCAGAGCAAGCCACTGAAGTCAGAACAGGTTGCTCAGGGCTTGATGCAGTTAAGTCTTGAAAACCCCCAAGGATAGAGATTGCACAACCTCTCTGGGCAGCCTGTTGCAGTACCTGACTGTCCTCATGGGAGAAAGCTTCTCCTTATATCTCATCATCTCACAATGTGAAAAGCCTCACTCAGTGGTCTTGGTAACTTCCCTGTAGGTGCTGGGGGGGCTGCTGTTGGGTCAGCCTCTCCTCACAGGGCAAGTGGTCCAGCCCCCAGCCAGTTTGGTGGGCCTCTGCTGAACTCACTCCAGATTATTCTCTTCTTTTTTTTTTTTTTCTATTGGGGGTCCCAAAACAAGATGCAGGACTGCAGATGCAGTCTCACAAGTGCTGAGGAGAGGGGGGAAAAAAAAAATCACTCTCCTCAACCTACCAGCTGTGCTTCTGCTAACACAGCCCAGGAGACCTTCTTTGCTGCCAGGGCACACAGCTTGCCATCTACCAGCACCCTCAGGTCCTTCTCAGCAGAGTGCTCCCCAGTCTGTGTCATGGCAGGTTTTTTTTCCTTCCTTGGTGCAGGACTTTCTATTTATCATTGCTGAATTTCATAAGATTCCTGTTGGCCCATTTCTTTGTCCTGTCCCTCTGAAAGTCAGCCCTGCCCCCAGCCTATTCTCTTCCATGTGCTCAGAAATGTGCTCCAAGAAAACACACTCTAGGATTTCCCCAGGGGCTGAGATGAGGCTGGCAGGCATCTAGTTCTTCAAGTTGTCTTTTCAGCCTTTACTGAGGATGGATGCAATGTTTTCCTTTTCCCAGTTACCAGCAGCTGCCCCTGATCTCTGACACTTCCAAGATGCCATAGAGCAGCCTTTCAAGGATGTCAGCCAGCATAGTCAGAACCCTTTGATGCAGCCTATCTGATCCAATGGACTTGCATGACTTAAATTCTCTCAAGTCTTTCCTGACTCGATCCAGTGCTGCTCTGGTGCAGTTGTTGTTCTCCTTGAACCCTGTCTACAAGTGCAGAGGCCTAGGAGACCTTGCTGGTGTGACAACTGATGCAAAAGAAGATCTAGAGTTACCTTAGCCTTACTTGTGTCTGCTGTTTCTAATTCACCCTCCCTGTTTAGTATTGGTTCTACATTTTCCTTGTTCAGCCTTGTACTACTAAGGTACCAGTGTTGTAGAAGCTCTTCGTGTTGCCCTTGATGTCCATAGCAGGTCTCAATTCCAAATGAGCTTTAGCTTTCTTAACACCATATCTACATGTCTTGGGCAGCATTTCTAAATTTCTTCCTTCATCGTCTCTCCCTGCTTACATCTCCTGTATACTGCCTTTGCACCGGAGCTCCACCATGAGCTACCTATTTACCTGGGCATGTCTCCTGATGAACCTACTTGTTTTGCTGAGTATTGGGATGAACCATTCTTGTTCTTGGAGAATGCTCCTTTACCCTTCAGAGTTGCCTCCTCCCATGGACACACACCTATTTGTTCCTTGAATAAGCCAAACATTGCTCTTCTTTGTGGTCTGTCCTCTGTTAACATGTCATCTTTTTTACCCTTAGGATCTTGACCTCTACTATTTCATGATAACTATGGCCAATACTACTGTTATCACATCCCTGACCAGTTCTTCCTTGTCTGTGAATAGCAGATCCATCTGTGCACCTGTGCATCACCCCTTGTTAACCCACCCGTTACCGGTGTCAAGAATTTATCCCTGACACCCTCCAGAAGTCAGCCGGATTGCTTGTGTCCCACTGTGTTGCCCTTCCAGAAGATACCATGGAGAGCAAGCCTTGCCTTCCTCATCCCCTGTTCTGTAGGAGTCAGGATCTGTTACCCAGAGACTTCCTTGTGTTGTCTGAAGACTCCATCTGCTTTTTTTCATTCTGATTGGATGATCTGAAGCACATACACACCATGATATTGCCCATCCCATAGAAGAGCTCCTTTACCAGAGGGTAGCCCCACTTCTCATCTTCCCTGACTGTCTGTCTCGAAGAGCTTGTATTACAGCACTCCAGTTTTGTGAATTGTACCACCACATCTTCAGTATTCCAGTTGTATTACAGTTTTGTGACTTCAGATGGGCCTTAAGTTCTTAATTAAGTTCTTAAGTCCCTGGTAACAGATGATAGGACAAGGGGGAATGGTTTGAAGCTGCGCCAGGGCAGGTTTAGGTTAGATATTAGGAAAAACTTCTTCACTGAAAGGGTTGTCAGGCTCTGGAATGGGCTGCCCAGGGAGGTGGTAGAGTCCCCATCCTTGGAGGTATTTAAAAGAAGGATAGCTGAGGTGCTTAGGGACATGGTTTAGTGGTGGGATGGCAGGGTTAGGTTAAAGGTTGGACTCGATGATCTTAAAGGTCTTTTCCAACCAAAGCGATTCTATGATTCTATGAATTAGTCTGTTTACAGTAATAGTGATTGGCACACTTTGTTAATGAGAAAGAAAGAGAGAAAAAAACGTAATGATCTGTTAGAAAAGAGGGGTGCAGTCCATGAAAGAAGCTTAACCGTGAAGACAGTCACGTGACATTTTTGCACATTCCTGTTACAATAATTAGAATCTTATTTTATTTGCAGGCTAGCAAACCTGAAAAAGTGTTGCCCGTCAATTCCCTGAGGCTTTATCTTGGAGTGAAAAAGAAAATGAAGCCACCGACAAAGTAAGAATAGAAAAGAAAATAAGTTAAACACAGTGTAGCAAGGTACTTGTAGTATCATCAAGAAAGGGGAACATAAACCATTTTGGAACAAGGAAAAGTCAAGAAGCCAATTGAAGTATGCTAAATTAAATTACCCTCTATAATATTATTTGTTCTGTTTCTGTCTCTGTTTTTGTGTTCCATGTTAACTCTTCTGTGCTAGGAAATTACTTTATTGATTGGCTTTTCTTAATCTTAAGTGCATTATCTCTTGTGGATATGTTTGCTGCTAACTCAGTTTTGTAGTATATGTCCTGCATTTCATTAGTGGACACCCCTTCTTTGCACAAAGAATAAAAGAGAGAAGAAAAAAAACAACTAGTCATGGCCTTTAGTGACAGTCCCTGTTGTTCAGTAGAGGATTTTCCCCTTTCAGGATCCTTGTTATTTTGATGTTTCTTTTTCTAGTGGAAGACTGCAATGTCCTTCACAAACATCAGTGACGATGTCTCTGGAAAAGAGCAGTGAAAAATGACACCTGTTTTTCTCAGATCTTTCCAGAATGCTGACACTGAGGTCCTATCCCAATGGGATTCTAAGTTGGCTGTAGCCTTTACACAGATCTGCTTGAACTTCTCCTTTACAGTTCGCACATCAAAACACCCCAAAAAGATCTGTAAATTTCAAAGCTTAGTTCTGTTAGAGAAAAAGTTGGTGGATTTTTTTTTTTTTTTTAAGCCACAGAACGAGTAGGAGATTAGGCCAAAATAGGAATAAAAAGATTATGTAAATGAGTCTTTGCAGGTAGCTTTTTTCCTTGAGGTTTATTTTCAGTCTACTTGTAAAAGCAGACTTTGCAGTCTCTTCTGGATCTCCAGGAGTGTCTGTGTCTCTTGGACCTCAGAGGCTTCATTGTGTGCCTATTTTTTTTCAGCAATTTTTAAAACTCTATAGGCTTGTGTGATTCCTTCTGTTTATAGTGGAAGCGTACCTCTCTTCCTTCTGACTTCCACACTGTAGTGGACTCTCTTCTGGGCACCACCTTAGCAGTTTGACTTCCAGCAGCTTTCAGAAAGTAGATCCACGGCCAAAATGGGGCAAGCAGTTAGCCATCATCTGCAGTGCTTGGCTATAATGCTTTGTCCAGAACAGAATGTTTGTTACCTGTGAATCAGCTGTAAGGAAATAAGCAAAATCCATCATCAAACCCACAATTTGATTCTAGATTTGCAGTATTTAGACTTTGTAATTTCCCCCCCACACTTAAAAGCACCATATAAAGGTAATGGATCTCTGCAGTTTGAGGAATGTTATCCCTGCCTTGAGTTTCTGGAACTAATTTTTTAAAATTTTATTTGTTTCAGCTGGGGACTTGCAGTATTTTCTGAAAAGCACCAGTGGTAGGTAAACATGAAACACATGATTGTTTTAGCTTCAATGTTTAATATTTGTTCAAATGTTCGATTTCAAAATAAGAATGTTTGCAAACTAATGGGCATTATTTTCTTGCACATTGACCTCTTGCTATGTTTTTCTTAATTAAACAATTGTAATTCATATGTTTTGGTAATCTTTTGGGGCCAGGTGTCTGTCTCACTTCTGTGGCCATAAAGCAAACGATTTTCATAAATTCAGAATGATACATTTGAAACGTAGGCACATGGATTAAATGAAGCACATGCATTGCCTTCAAAGTAGGGTCAAGTGATAATTTGAAGTATTTATATTTCCCTATCTTTTTATGGGAGTGCTAATAATAAATATAGACAGCACTCATAAATGAATGCAAGCACTGTTTGAAGTTATTTAGAAGCCTTTTCTTTAATATGTTTATTTGCAACAGGGCTTTTTGTTGTTTTTCTTGTTAATTATATATTGTGTTCTAGGTATATATGTTGTGATGGACAAGATGTGCAGATGGAGTGGATGATCAGCATTTTTACTGCTCAGGTACTAAACTGATCAATGAAATGTAACTTTCACTACTGTTACAAAAATTCCATTGCACAATCATATCCATAATGCATACATATGTTATAGATAAAGTTGCAATGCCATTAAAGTTTCTGGAATACTCAATGTAATAAAATTGCAAAAAGATGGTTTTAGTCTATGAAGACTATTATTTATAATGTCATTTTCATATGAAAGCTGAGTGCTTTGTGAGGAAGAGAGAACATTACATTCTGGCTTTTTTTTTTTTTTTTTTTTTTTTTTCTTCTCCTGCTGTGTTGTAGAGAAGCTGGTTAAAGAAAGACAACTCATGTCCTTCCCAGTAATAAACCTTTTCTTGGTGAAATTCTGGCCATTGACCCGAAGGGTCTGTGCCAGGGTGCCTGAGTGCTATTTCTCTGCTCACTGGTTTGGATGCTGCATGCAAAGTAGTCATGAAAGGAGGGTGCCCTATTTAAAAAACCAGTGTGTGTGAACTAGCCCTGTTGAAGAGCCATGCCAGTGCAGCTGTATTTCTCAGGTATCCTGGTTAGCTTAGTTAACATTGACAATTCTTTGTGTTGGATAGGCATTATCCTAAACTAAGTAATCTTCCTCTTGCTGCTAGGTTGTGAGTGAGGGTATATATTTGTGTGCCATATAACACATACTTACAAATGGAGTTTAATATTTACATAGGAGGGAGTGGGAGTAAGAGAGAAGGGAAGAATTCAGTCTGACAGGAGACTGGAACATAGTTTAAGGTTTTAAAAGGATTTTGTATTTGTGTCAGATTTTTCCTGTCTTTCCTGTGACATTCAAGGAACTTTGGGGAATATCACTGTGAATAAACATCACTGGATTTATGATTACCTGTGAGCTTTATGTATTATGTAAAGTGGACTAGGCACAAGACTGTTGCAATACATACTTCTTAGGGGCTTTCTAAAACAGAATCTGACCTTCATAGATAGTAATGCTTAGAAGTACAATGCGTGCCTTGTAAGTAAGACTTCCAAATTTTTGTCTTATTCAGCTCCCTTAACTGAAGTAACTATTGTAGTTTCTATGGAAACAGCCACCGGTCCTGACATAGATCTCATGGGCATAACATGAGCAGTGTCACAACAAATAGGCTTAGAGGTTATTGATATAGGCTACTTAGGAATAACTCATACAGGCTTGGTAACTGTTGAAGTCCTTTTGACATAAAATCACAGGAAGGGCAATCTATTAGGATTCTGATCAGGTAGAGTGGTATGTAGAAGATTCATCTGACAATATAGATAAAAAACTGAGACACATTGCTCAATGGTCAGAAAATTTAAATAATTTCATATGCATTTTTTTAAAAAATTGCTATGAATTAATACTATTGGTTTTTTAAAACTTAATTGCAATGAATGAGCAGTACAATGAACTAGCAGTACTAGTGAGCTACATTGGGAGGAGTTTTGGTTTTGTTTTGGGTTGGGTTTTTTTGTGGGGTTTCTTGGTTTGGTTTTTGGTTTGGGGTTTTTTTTTCCAAATCAGCCTTCTGGGCATCAGTAAAGTTGTCGGTCTTTGAATTACATGAGAAACTAAGTGCTAACAATGCAGATTTGCTGAATTGTTCTTATTACAATCTGCTGCTTTAAATATAATTAACAGTGAAAATCTCCTTGAGAATGAAATGGCTCATGTTCCCAAAGCTTACTATAAGATCTCCAGATGTTTTGTATCAAGCAGCAGCAGACAATTATTGTCACATTATCCCATTTCTAAACTAGAAAACTGTAAATGTCAGGTTGAGGTTATTTTTAGTCAGAATTTTCATACTGAGGCCATCTTTATGGAAGATAGGTTGTCTTTTACCCTTGTTATCACAGTATTTGAACACCTTTATGTTGGAGAGATTGCAGGCAGCACGTTTTTTTGTCAGTGGAATACCCTGGAGGTATTTAAAAGATGGGTAGATGAAGTGCTTAGGGACATGGTTTAGTGGTGGGATGGCAGTGTTAGGTTAACGGTTGGACTTGATGATCTTAAAGGTCTTTTCCAACCTAAACGATTCTACGATTCTATGATTACAAATGGAAAAATAGTGTAAAGTACATTTTGAAGTGTTAAGACATTGACATTAAATGATCTGGTGCAATTAGGAGGGAGATAAATCTCTGTTACTACTGGGTTCCTTAGTGCTTGAACAGGATAGACGTTATTGGTAATTAAAATCAGTAGTAGTATGGTTATCCTTTTTTCCCCTGTTTTCTGATAATGTTTATTCCTGTAGTATAAATATTGCAGAGAATGTAAATAGCAAAGTGTAGGTACCACTGTAATCTAGTAATAAGAGTACTTTTGATAGAGAATGTCAAGTTATCCCAGACATTATTAATCTTGAACTTCAAGCTGGTAAATACTAAGAGGGTTTGAAGGAGGACCATTGTTTCTTTCAGTTCTATGTACAATCATCCTGAACAGTATGGCTGAAACTTAATTCTTGAATTCTGTAATAGTATTGTACAAAATAACTTAATGGCATACATAGCATGCAGTTGGAAGTAATTAATTGATATGAAGATGGACACAATAATATTCTTCCAGTTTCATTGCCTTTGATCAATAGAGAGGCACATTATATTACCATGAGGTGCAGTTGAGCAGCTAGGTCAAAACTATGAATAAATACATTTATTATGTGGCCTAATACATTGCTTGTATTTCTCATGTACTTTCCCAGAGTTCTATTTTAGGAAATGTTACAGACACAAAAGGGAAATCAGGCTGCTTAACTGACAGGGATAGTTTCCTTAAGCTTGTGAGAATTAAGGGAGGCAGTTTCCTTCAGAAGCCTACTTAAAGTTTGTCAATCACTTTATGAATTGTATTTGTTTCTTTTACCTTGGTCCACAATAAACTGATTTTGGTTGGCAAGACCTGCTCTTTCAGGTAATACCTTCTCAGTGTTTCATTGGAAGAAAATGTTCTTAATATTCACTGAGGAGAACTCTTATAGCAGACTTTTACATCGTTGTGGTCAGCACCACGTATGAGAATTTTCACTTTATGAAGATGTGAATCTATAAAATACTTTTTCTAAATTTGGAATTGGGGCTTCTGATTTCTAGACTGCTATTCTAAGTGTGTAATTACTGATTTTGATGGCTTTTTAATAGTAACGCTGGTTTACTTGCAGACCTTCTGCAAGTATGGTCACAGCTCCACAACTGGATTTTTGTATACAGTTTTGAAGAGACTTCTTACTTCATGGATTTGGAAGATTGAATACCATTAAAAAAAAAATGCAGGACACTGAAGATCCCGACACCTGTGAAAAGAAATCTCTTTGGACATTGTCACAGAATTGTTTAGCTTGGAAGGGACCTCTACCTGTGAAAAGAAATCTCTTACAGATTTGGACAGTGTCACAGAATTGTTTAGCTTGGAAGGGACCTCTGGGGATCATCTAGTGCGATCCCTCTGTTCAAAGCAGGGTCAGCTAGAGTAGGTTGCTCAGCACTGTGTCCATTCAGATTCAAATAACTGGAGACTCCATGACATCTCTGGGCAATTTTTTGTTCTAGTGTTTAACTACTTTCATAGTTAAAAAGGGTTGGGTTTTTTTTTTTTTTTCTTATGTTCAGACAGAATTTCTTGTTTCCTATTTATTATAACTAATGCTTCAGATTAGTATTTTGCCAATATTTACATGAAGTATTCCCAGCTTTCATTAGGGTTCCTCTGCAGTTCTGGCTTGCCAGTTTCCTTTGGAGTTGTGCTGGTTTATCTTCATGCACTCATCTCCAGGCTTGAGAAACTACACTTCTGTAGGCCTCATATTATCCTCTTTGATTCACAGAATCTCATGTTGAAGCTTTTTCGGGAAAATACTCTAACACTACCTTGTCCTCAGAACTATCTTTCTGTTTACCATTAACATCACCAAAGGACTCTGTGAGCTTCAAGCACGTGTTCAAATTTCTACATGTGAAATTCTATATGATCTGCTAATGAAAGTTCATTATAGACCTCTTACAGAAAGAGGTTTTAACATTTTATTTGAAATAGTGATTTTGTTTTTTTCTTCCCTTCTCTTCCCAGTCATGTTTTTAACTCAGAATGAAGCTGCTTTGGAGTTCTCCCCAAAACTAACCTGTTTCAGTAGAGCTAAAGTAAAGACTATTATTGAAACCAGATCTGTTTAAGTGTAGACTGTGATTTTGGAGCATTCAGAATGTCAAGCCTTTTCCTTTTGGCTAACACATGTTGTTACTGTAGGTTAAGCAGTTGTTCTCTCCTATATTATTAATAGAAATGTTGAAACACTTGTTTGCAGATTGGGGTAATTTTGGTTTACTTCAACAACTTTTGTTGGGACTCATTAAAGCATGCCTATGTGGAATTTTGTAATTGTGAATCAAGTCAATGCGTGTGTCTTGTCTGATGATATTTTCTATTCTTAGAAGATAATTGTATTGATACATAATATGGAGGGATGATTTTTGATACATGAAAATTATATAGAGGCATTTTGGTTCCCTCAATATTGTGCAGCACTTACTTACAAAATACTAATATAATTTTAAGCACCATAATGTTTTCCCCCTTCTCCCACAAGAGGAGGATGTGGTGTTGTGCAGTAGATAGCTTTTTCCAAGAGAGTGTTACATACAAAGGAATGTTGTGTATTTATGAAATTGCACACCAAAAATAAGGATTATTTTGTTCTTCAGCATGAAGATATATGGCCACCTGCTGGAAAAGCAAGAAAACAGTCTATAACTAAAAGTCCAAAGATTGGAGGCTTACCACTAATTCCCATTCAACAGGACAAGAACACTTGTAAAATCAGAGGGAGTACTGAAGTAAGTGGGGTTTAAACTTGGTGTAGAACAGTTAGGACAATTTAATTTAAAAAAAACAGTGAGTTAAACTTGTCACCTCTTTGGCTGTTCAGTAAATCAATAGTGGATTTTTATTTGTGTTTGGGGTTCTTTTGAGCAATGATTGTTCATTAAAAGTAAATAGGACTTTTACCTGGAAATAAAATGCGCGTTATTACAGTACACTTTACTACAGTTTTATTTTAATAAGGTCCTTGAAAACTGTCCTGCATGTGTATTCTACCATATCTTTTTTCTGTCTAAAGTAACTGCACTGTTTCAGTTATCTGCTCTGTGAATGTATGGAAAAGCTCAGATGGAACTAACTGCAGTACATTTAAGTTGCAATATTATTAGCCTCAAAGAAGAACAAGAGAGTTTAGCTACAACTCTTTGCAGAGACTGAGCTGTGTCACTACATTGTGTGCACCAGTGATATGTCTCAACCTTATCATCTTAGCTTGAGATGAATTTCTGGTATCCACATAGAGATACTGATGCCTGTGGGGAGGACTGACTTGCCTTGCTTCCAGCTGAGAAGAAGCAGTGGTACTGGAGGCACTGTTCTGCTTGGGAAAAATAGTGGTAACTAATCTGAATGTGGCAGAGAATAAGTGTTGAAACAAAACAGCTTGCTCCTTTGACTGTATGCAGTATTATTTCTGCATGTTTTAGAAGATTTTGAAGGGAGGTAGATAAAACAGTATGTGTTATCACCACTTACAGAGACAGTGGTTCAGGCAAAGATTGGCGAGGCTGACTCAGTTCCATAGCAAAACAAAAGCAAAGGTAGTAGTAGTGCTTTATCTAAAAGGCAACTCCATCTTTCTTTTGGTCTGCTTTCTTCAGGCATTTCTGCTCTGTCTTACCAAATGAGTATAATACAGTGTGAATGCGATTATGGTTTTCCTATTTTGTTTAATTTGTCCTTTTGTTTTAACCTTCTCTCAGGAAATATTTTTGCAGTTCTTTGATAAGTTCCTTCTAATATTTGCATTTTAAAACTTTTTTGATGAAAGTAAATTATAGGTTTTGTTATTCAAAAAACTTCGTAACCCTTAGGTATGTCTCTTGCCTGTTCTTTATACAGGTACAGCTGAGATCTCTAATACGTTCTTTGAGCTGGCAACATTATAGCATAAAGGTTATATTGCATTTTGAGCTTCATGATCTAAAATCCTTAATACCTTATAGTGCTATAATTGTTTTTTCAGTATTACTTTTATTGATAATGTCCTTCATTAAGAAGAACTGATGTTTTGTACACTGCAACTTAGAGGAAGTCTGCATTTAAACTTAAAAATAGAAGATTATAGTCTTCATTATTTATGCCATGACTAGATCTAGAGCAGTTTTATGCAAAGGGTATTTGCATACATTAGGAAGACTAACACAAAATTATATAGTGGAAAATAAAAGCTAACACTTTCTTACATGGAAAGCCAAAACTGGAATGAACAGTAAAATAGTGGTGGAAAGTAAGTATATGATATGGTTTATTAGGAGAAATACTGTACAGCAGTGTAGTCAGTAAAGCAACAGACATCCATTTGGAGACCGTGCCTTCAGTCTTTTCATGGATTTGTAATATTCTCCAGCAAGCAAAATATCTCAGCTTTAAAACATTAGAGAGTAATAACACGAGCACTTTCTGAAAGATGCTGGTTTATGAAAAATGGAGGTCTGTTTACAGATCTATGCATAAACTTACAGTAGAAAGGTGATCAAAGTTATCTTCATATAGGCAGGAAGAGAGACTGGAAGTTTTCTGAACAGTGAAAAAAGTGACATATTTGTGATAGGAAGATAAGTGAGGGGGGAAAAAAAACCAAAAAAACCAAAAAAAACAACAAAAAAAACCCTAAAACCTCAAAGATACCCAGAAAACAACAAATTTAATTTCAATGTTCTGTGCTAAAAAGTATATATTGAATGTCGTCCTTTTTCCATTATTTGAAGTAATTTTAGTGTGTGCTAACAAGACAAATACATAATACAGAAAGTTTGAAAACACTGTATAACGAAGAATCCTTCTAATAACAAATAGAATCAAAAGATTTTCATTATTTCTGCAGTTTGTTGCATACATGGATAGTGAATTTGAAAGATGCGCATTTCTCATATAGCATCCTTTAACTGAAATAGAAATATATTACTGTATATCTGCAGTAAGTCTGTAATTTTATTTCAAAATATGGGAAGATTGAGGAATGAGGAAAGACTTTCTCTTTCAAGTCATGTTCAAATACCGTACTGACTTACAATAGGTTATACCTGTGTAGCATTTCGGAAGGAGGAGTATGTCACAAGGATAATGGAGGTTGCAAATAGATAGGGTTGCTCCATATTTTTTGCTGGCGGTATGCAGAAAAAGGAAAAATGTAGTTAGATGTATGTATTATTATCAATTTGTTCAATTCCTTGATTAAGGGGCTGAAATTCAGAGGCAAACAGCTGCTTCTAACATGAAATTGTTGCTTTTTACGTTGGGGTTATTGGGAGAAAAGTATGGAGTTCAGAAGTGTAATTTATAGCATGTGACTAACAGTGGGCAGCGGATCAAATACTAAGAAATAATATTAAGAAATTTGATGTGGCACTTGTGTTCACACATCATTTTGATATGTTATTTTATAAGGGGATCTGTTTATAACTGTAACTGTTAGTGCTCTAATTTGAACAACAGAATTTGGCTCCATCAATTGAATATTCTTACAATGCAAATGTCTGGGAATTAGGATTCCTTTATATACTGAATCTACTTCAAAAGTTAAAAATGTCGAGTAGCAGTCTGTGTTAAGGGGCTACATGCCAATATACAAGACAGATTCAGAGAAGTAGGTAACCTTTACACTTGAGTGCTGTATTTGATCTGTTCATACTTTCTTTATATAAATGGCTCCTGCTATATCCAGTTTAGCAGGAGAACAATACTGATTTCAGAAGTGTAGTTGGTATTTTTCTTCTCAAAAGATGCAAAATTGAAACACGATGTAAAAAATTCTGTAAATAGAAGATTGTTGCTCCTGAACGAATTTTATGACTAATTCATATCTTAGTTTGCTGAGTAACAGCAAATAGCTTGTAAGCGTGTTACTGTGTTTTCTGAAAGGTAGTGCATGACAATTTACCTTTCACATACTGTGTGTGTTTTTTCAAATATTTGGCAGAAGAGAACTCCCCGCATCTGAGTCATTGGGACAGTTCCTCAGTTGCCTTGAAATTTTTTCGCTAAATATAGCTGAACATGTTAAATATTAGGATGCTTCTTGCTGGCTTAGGTGATAGCAGGACATTCTAAACCGATAGGAGTTGTCACTGAAGGCAGTAGAATTTGAGAGTCTTCAGGCAAGCTAAAATCTGCTCCACAGCACGCACCAGTAGGAACTCATGTAGCAGTTTGATCTCTTGCATGCATTATTGTTCCGGGACTGATACTTTTTTTTGCATATCATGGCCACTGGTGCTTTGTTATTAATGGGTAGTTTTCATTCTTGGTGAATGCAAATAGAAATACCAGCTTAAATAGAAATACCTCCTTAATGCTGAAAGTGATATCAATGAAATAATCCCTTTATCTGCTCTTTTAAAAATTGTGATTTATAGTTCTAAATGTTTGTTTCTTTTATTATTGAACAGATGCTAGCTCAGGTTAAATTTCAAGGGAATGCACAAATTTAGACTTTGTTTTATAGCTTAGATGTCTTCAGTGTAAACTCATTTAATATTTACTATTTTTCTTCCTACACAGCAACTAATTTGCTGCATCAACAGGTTTTTTTGTTTGGTTGGTTTTTTTTTTGCAATGAGCTTACGCTTGCTGTCCTCATGAAGAAAGAAATGTCACTTTACTGTGTTTACTTGCCTTACATGTTCTAGAGGAATTTATTTTATTTGTCTGCTCAGTTGGTGTAGCAGTAGGCAGATCATTCCTTTTGTGGAAGAGCCTTACAGGTCTCAAAGAAATGAGGTCTTGGAATTCTTCTTCCATGTATGACATCTTTGTTGACTACTAGAAGATACTTAAAGCTGAGAGAGACTTTAGCTCTTTTTTGCCTTTCTTGTGCAGCAATTGTTCAGTTTAGCTGGAGTTTTATGGAGTTATTCATCCATAGCATATAAGCAAGTTGTCTCATGGAATCTTGATACCTCATATATGTTAAAGCAAACATGAAAAAATATTTCAACACTAGAGAGGAGCTAGTTTAGGTATATCTACATGAGTGTTCTAGTTAGTATCAGGAGTGCACTTTAGGAGCCAATCTTCCAGTTGTTCCCAGTTACTGTGTTTTGCTTGTATTGTGGAGTGGTTCTGGAACATGTAAACTTGGATTGCTTTCAGGTGAAAGTGAGGTTGAAGATCTTTTGCAGGAGCATATCTAATGCACTGCAGCCAAAAATAGGTCTTCTGCAAGTAGGAGAAAGCTAAAGCTAGTCTGAAATGATTTTATAAAAAAAAAGCCAACAGCCCTAAATTAGTGTTACTGTGGATGTTGGGTTCTCAGCACTTCTCTTTCACTGTACAGATGTGCTCCTAATGGCACACACTAGTTGTGAATTTAGATGCAGCATTTGATTTACCTTTCATTTCATACAGCTTAAGAACTTGAAAACAGCCCACCAATATGGAACAGTTGCATCACCATCAGTTTGTTGTTTTATCTGAGTTCCCAGTATGTTACTTAAAATTGCTAGCCAAAATTTGAAAAAGCAGACAAAGTCTTTATAATTTATCAGGTAGTACTGAACAGCTGCTGAAAATGTTTGTGATCATGTAAAATTATCTTTTTTACATTCATGTAACTCAGTCATTAAGTTATCAAAATTGCAACGTTCTCGGTTGTATTTGTTCGATTTAAGAATTCTGAGATTTAATTTAAGAGTCTGTGGATCTGCTGTAAAACATTAAAATTTAGTCTACTGTGGTAGTATGAAAAATCAAATTGTGACTATATGAAAATGAATGTCTTCATTGTCATGGTGTATTTAATTGAAAGATTTATGGAATTTTCAAAAGTATCACTGAGAAAATATGTTCACTAAAATGCTTACTAAATGATAATAGCACAAATTGCGGGAATTTAAAACTGTTAACTGTGCTGTCTCGGCTCTTGAGTAAAATTGATTTTTCTTTTAAACTGTTATGTGAAACTAATAAGCAAAATTTGCAATCTAAATATTGTTGAATATTGTGTTAATGTGAATGATCTTATTTCTCTTTGCTTGTTTGCTCAGAATATAGAACTGCAATCTGGGAAACAAAAATTTGGTGAGCATCATAAAAATGACTTTCTGGAAGAAAGAAAAAACTTGAAAGAAAAAGCATGTATTGTGGCACAATGTTTGGAACGGAAGGAGGAGAAAGTACGAAATCATGCAAAAACACATCGGGGCTTGATCTCTGAGGATGTAGGTGCAGGGATGACTGACCTACAAAGACCACATAAGGCACTGAAGAAAAATAAGAACAAAACAAACAAAACCACTTTGGAATTAGATAACAAATTGCCATCAAATGTGATTCAGGAACTAAATACAGTGCTGCAGAACAGAGCATTTAATGATGAAACCTCCAGCTGATTTCCCGAGTCTGAAGGGGGTTTTTTTATGTATACATATATATATATGCATGTATGTGTATTTTCTGGACAAAAGTAGTCTTTTTTGATGTGTGTAGTTTGTACAGGGCAGACGAAATATAATTTGCTTATATGGAGCTGTTGATTCTATATATGTGTATGCCACATGTTATAATTTAAGATTAAACTGAGAGAACTGATTATGTGAAACTCCTGAAATTTGCAAGTTTTCCAGGGTTTTTTCTATTTTTTTATTGTAGATTTTGTTCGGTATAATTATTCTAAGCACTATCTAAAGCTTTTGCTCTGTGTATATTCTGTACCATCTTGTAAGTACTGAAGAGATATTTTTGGAAGGAAGACAAGATATACAATGAAATACATACTGTTGGCCTGTGATATTTTTAATTGTCTAACACTATAAAAATGAGTCACATCTGCTTTGAAAAGTCATTTTTGCATGTAAATTTCTTTTTGTATGTAAGAATAAAATTAGTATCTGCTTCCATAGATTTGTCCTCTGACAGAGCAGCATGTGAAAGAATCAAAAGGGAGAGGCATGTAGTAGACAAGACAAAGTATTAGTTCTTGTATCTCAAAACTGTGTCTATATGGTGTACATCTGATTATGACATCTAAACAATGAGAGAGAATACTGAGGATGACAAAAAGAAGTCTTCAAAGCAACATCCAATTTAAAAGGGTATATGAATTGGAAGATAAGCATCATCTCTTTATGCTCAACAGGCTCAAATAATTTTATTTTATAAACAGACCTTGGTTAGCTCAGGGTGACAAAAGCAGGCTTTAGAGCTGGCTTGGTGCTGACAAAGTTGCTGGCATCTGATGAATATTTAATATTCGTGTAAGAAATTAATATCCTTAAGAAAAAAAGGTGTCGTCCCCCCCCCAACCTATCTATCAGAAGGGCACAAACTCACTCAATTAAGAAGTGCCAGTTACTAAATGGGTGAGGACCCTTTACCGTGAGGACAAAGGTGAGCACTATGCTCTTCGCAGGGGCTAGGAAATGCTCATGCTATAACTTCAGGACGGCTCTTCTGAGTGTGAGGAGAGGTCCCAAGGTTGAGACAACAGCCTCAGTTACCTCCTTTGCTGCATTCTGAGTATGTAGGTAGCAGTTCCTGAAGACATACGATGTACTGCCCTGCAGTGACTTTGGTTTTTAAGCCCTGAGTTCCTTTAAATTTAAAAACTGCCATCCGTCTAAAAAGCAAAACCTACGTAAGGAATTAAATTATTTGGTTTTCTTCAGTTGTTTTGTGAATCACGCCTTCGCTTATCCCATGGGATTGCCTCCTTCCTCTCTCATGGCATATCCCAGTTTTTCCTTTGTCCCATAACAGCTGGATGGGCAAAAGGCGCTGCTGTGCTGAGGCTGTTTCCAGGTGTGGCAGATGGTCTCTGGTTAAGCAGCAGGACCAACAGAGCAGAGAGCTAATGAGCTCACACTGCATCTTTGCTTCAGGGCAGGCATTATAGCAGCATCTGCTTAATTTTGCTGCTGTCCCTTTTGTGCTCTGATTAGCCACTCTGCCACAGATTTTCATCAGCCTTTTAAGAACTTACTGACACCTTTAGTGTTCCTCAAGTTTCATTGGAATTGACCAGACCTCTTAGTGCAGAAGAAAGAATTTTAAACTATTTCTTGTTTATTGGAAATTGTTTTAAATAGTGCCTTAAATAATTAAAAATCGAAAGGAAAAAAATTTGATTTAATCAGCGCCATTGACATTTGATTTTTATTAACCGATAGTTTTGAGGATGCTTTATGTTGCTACTGAATTTCTTCCTATACAGAAGCAGTATGCTTATTTATCCCCTCTTCTATTTTTGGTAGTCACAGGTGCCGTAACATTTCTCACATCATTTACTTCTATTCTTGATTGCATTGAGCAGCTTAATTGGAAAAAATAATTTGTTTGATTGAAGAAATTAGACAAATGACTCAAATAATGTATCTGGCAACTCTGCTAGGAAGTACAGGGAAAATGAAATCAAACCCAAACGTTTTATAGTGTTTTGTATTTATTCTTCTGGAATGTAGCACTGACAAAGCAAGCTTAGTCGTTCAGACTTTGCACTTACTATATTTGACCAGTTATTAATCTGATTAGAGTTTGTAGATTTTAATTTTCTGGTGCACTATCGACTATTTTGCTACCTTTAATTTGTAATTGAGCCTCTTCTAATCATTGAGACCCTGGCTCAAGAAAGCATATAAGCCTGAACTTAAATTGTATTGACTGAAGTCGGTGCTTAATGTTAATAAGAACATTCTTAAATGCTGATTTGAATCAGGGCCTAATGCCATCAGGAGAAATTACTTTACTTTCTGTTTGAGGCTGGACTGGGATGTACTGTTTACAGTTGTACTTTTATTTGCAAATATTTTTCAGTATTGAGTTATGGTTGCTGCATTGTTTATCTTTTTATTGGGTTCTTTAAAATGACATTCACCTCTGCTGAAAGCCTCATGCATCATTTAAGCCCCTACACTAATGGAATAAATGGAGCAATGGAAGGGTTTGTGCATTGAAGTGAATACGTCCATGAAGAAAATGTTTTGTGTATTTTTATTTGCTCTAAGAACTACAGAAACGTTTGTTCTATTTCAAACGTGTGTCACAGATTCTTTATCTGTATGGCTGCTGTTAAAGGGCCCTAAAAATCAAGAAGAAAAGATGTTTACTAAAATATGTTTAAATTTGGTTTTGTATGTGTATATACGCAAACCTTCACACTATATATGTGTATGTGTGCATACAGTTATGTGCATATCCACAGAGGCACACTGAACGGTAACAGTGTTAATCCAAGGAAAATTTATTTGGGAAAGTAGAAATCAAATTTGAAATTAATTATTTCAAATAGGTATCAAAGTTTTGGACCATTCATCTGGCATATCATTGTTGCACTACACATTTCAGACTGATTTAAGACCTGCGGAATAAATGTGTTTTGTTGCAATACCTTAATGGCTGCTGATCTTTTATTGTTCCTGTGCCATGTTGTGGAATGGCAAAGGAAGTGTAAATTTCAAAGAATAAATGATAATTATTTGAATAAATGCTATTTCTCTAAAATAGGCAATGGATTTTTTTTTGAGGAAAAAAAAAAGTCAATAAAAATGTTTAAAAAAAAAATATATTTCTCTGTCTTTCCATGTGAGATCTATTGAATAGCCTGAATTTAAATGAGACATAAGTGGTTTATGCATGGGTTTATGACAGTGGGAAGACTAGGATTAAAATCTCTGTAAATCCCAGGTTCATCATTGCCTTGTTAGACTTCTGCAACCACTGTAGGTGTAAAGCAGATATGTAAGCATGATTTATACTAACTGTTTTAGCATAATGCCTGTTTTCTCTTTGTGGTTTGTTGGGGGGTTTTTTTCATATTTATTAGGATAGTAGAGGGAAACAACCCAAAACCTGAAGAAAAATATGAGCTGGAATCTGTTTTCTTTTTTCCTTTAGTTGAGAATATTGGCTACTATTCTGGAATGTTTCTTTGAAACAGATCTTTTCCTGAGATAATATTTTAGGCTACCAGTTCAAAAGAGCAGTTTGACTAATAGGTTTTGTGCCTTAGCAGAGACTGCTTTACTGTGGGGTCAATTTGACCAGCCGAGATCTACAGAGTGTGTTCATGCAGAGCTTACCTTTACTGCGTGACTCTGGTTGAGACACAGTTTCTGCATTATAAGGTTTGCAAATGTTATCCAAGAACCTGTCCAGTGGGGGAAGGGTATCTCCAAAGATTTCTTCAGTTAATAGGGAGGGCTTGGCCATATTGTTGATTTTTGTTTCTTCATTGAGAAGATCTCTGGGCTGTTGTGCCTAAAGTGAGCTGTTAGGATGCCACTGGATCTGCCAGAGGCACCCCTGGGGTGCCTTCCACTGTCACATGTGGGGGTAGTTTTGGACTGCTCTGCAGATACAGGTTGATAAGAGATGATTGAAAATTATGGGAATTCTATCTTGCTGCTATGATTCTTCTTGCCCCTGATACAGTGATGGCACAATTTGCATTCCTATGAGTGCTGCCAGGTTGCCAGCAGCTCCACATCTCAAGTTCCCAATTAAGGAATCCGGGGAAAAAACTTACATGCTCTGCTGGGGGTTGTGGTGATGCTTGCAGGAGTCAGGAGGTAAGGGGTATGTGTCTCACTGGCCGAGACACTTTGTTATGTGCCTACCCTGCATATCACCTTTCTGATGTTTAAATCCTGTTTTCCAGTGCATGCTGTTTCAGTTGGAGAGAAGGTATCAGGCTGTTACTGGCATCTGAATTAGAACACCTTCAGTTGTGCTTGAGTCCAAATGGAAACTGAATTAAACTCAAAAAAGGTACTGACTCAAGTCTTTGTTGCGAGCATGCTCTAAAAATTATATTCGATTTGGGCTACTTAATGTAAATCTGCAGTTTCAGTAAGTTACATTAGGAAACCTGAACTAGGTGCATGTGGGGTAGAAACAGTTTATGTTGATGGATGGATTATATTCCAAGTTGAATTGTTTGAAAACATATCTACTAACTTGTAAAACTGAGCCTATTGCAGCAAGATTGACTGGGAAGATTCAGAATGCATGGTGTGGTCTGTACAGTGTTCCTGCTTCTGACCCACCAGAAATATTCTCCGCGCTGTCAAAAAAGAAGTATTTGCTAAAGTTGGTGGGTTTTGAGGCTAGATTGTTCTCTGTGAAGACAGGGAGCCTTGCAAAGTTTTCTTCATTGTTCACGCCAGATTTGGATGTTGTACTGCTTTACTTGCAACTCCACAGCAAATGGGATCCATCTATAGCTTCAGTTAAGGGGAAAACCAGTTCTGCTATTTTAGTTGTTACCACTGCTGTAGCTTGACTGTCTAGTTATTGTCTTTGCTGAAATTTCTTTGAGAATATTCCTGTTATACTGCTCCTGTTTTACTAGAAAATTCATGGCAATTTGTGACATTAAAAAGAAAGAAGGGTGTGGATGCTAATGCCACAGTTGCAGTAGGCAAATCAATCTTCCTACGTACCTATAATCTTGCACAGCAGTTCAGGTTTTTGGGGCGCTTTAGTACTCTGGAACGTCCTCATCTTTAGGTTGTCTTTAATACACATCCCTATTCTGCTCATTGACTTGATGTGGTTTTTTCTAGTTTATGACTCAAACTTCAGCCATGCTTTCTATTTAGACCCCATGACATCTCTGACTATTGACTTTGGCTTGGTTTGTGCATTATGGTTAAGCCCCGTATGTCAAACTTGCCTTAACCTTTATCTTAAATCCTGGTAGATTTAAAACTTCTTGGTGTTTCCCTATAGAGAAAGTGATCTCACTGAATGGGTCAAGAGAGACAAAGGTCTAGATGTTGACAAATAGGTGTTACAAAGTTCTGTAGACCATGTCTATAAAGGCCTATGAAGGTCTTCTGCATATTTGCATTTGTAGTTCTCAGCAAATCAGAAGGCAAACTAAAGCAAATGTACTTTGTTTGCCTTTAGAAATTATTTTAGTTTGGTGCCTTAATGATCCTATAATATGTATTGTGCCTGGTAATAAAGAATGCAATTTCTTGCAAATTATACCTTTGGTTACATAAACAGTAAAGCCTTTTCTTTCAAAACTTAATTAGCATTGGTTTGTCCAGTACTGCAGACTGCTTAAGAACTAATAGGTCTGAATAAATTGAGGTTTGCTGTATGTATGAGTTTTATAACTTGTCATTTTCTCCCCATCTACTTTTCCAATATGTTCCATTTAAAAGCTAATAATGTGTTTGTATTTGACTAGTTTTGCTTTATATGTCCATTTAAATTACAGCATGATTGAAATATAATTTCTTCAAATAGGCTTTAGCCATTAGCCTTTAGTTTATTGTGTGTTAGTAGCTTACATTTGTGATTGGTGTCCAGCACTTAAGTTTGTTTTCAGGGTTTTTTTTCCCCCACTATTTATTTACTCATCTTGTACATTGGAACTGTTCAAGCTCATTGGATGATAAATACCATAAACTGCATATAACAATCCTAAAGTCTTCCCAGGCTGTTACAGGCAGAACATTTTTCACATGAGGATCCTTACAAGCTTTTCTTCCAGGGGAAACCAGGTTTTATGGGAGATTACACAACTTTCATGTAGTGAAATATGTCTTGGAGTCTTGATTAAATCCCTGAGTGAAACAACAGTACTTTTTATCTATATCCTGGAGATGGTTAGTTTAGTTCCCTTTCTGTCACTTCTTGATCTTATATAGCACAGCTTAATAAATGAGTTTTGAAAACGCTGGCATAGGATCATTCTAAGAACTGGTGTACAGACAAATAAATACAAAATATCTATATATAGCAAGAAATCTCACCATTAGCTTAAAGTTTCTTTTTTCCTCATTAAATAGCAAAACAGTCGTAAATTCAGATTTATTGTTTTTTCCTCCCATCTGTTAAAGAAAAGTTCTCACTAGCTTGACCTTTCTGTGAATTTTCAGTATTAGTAGCTGTATTGCGTATGCGTAGCAAGGTTTTGGTAGTGGGGGGCTACAGGGTGGCTTCTCATTGTGTCCAGTAGAACCAGTGCCAGCTTGGCTCCAAGTCAGACCCACTGCTGGCCAAGGCTGAGCCCATCAGTGACAGTGGTAGCAACTCTGGGATAATGTATTTAAGAAAAAAAAAACAAACCAAAA